CCAGGCTCCACGTCACACTAAGCTCCACGTCACACTAAGCTCCACGTCACACCAGGCTCCACGTCACACCAGGCTCCACGTCACACTAAGCTCCACGTCACACTAAGCTCCACGTCACACCAGGCTCCACGTCACACCAGGCTCCACGTCACACTAAGCTCCACATCACACTAAGCTCCACGTCACACTAAGCTCCACGTCACACTAAGCTCCACGTCACACCAGGCTCCACGTCACACTAAGCTCCACGTCACATTAAGCTCCACGTCACACCAGGCTCCACGTCACACTAAGCTCCACGTCACACTAAGCTCCAAGTCACACCAGGCTCCACGTCACACTAAGCTCCACGTCACACTAAGCTCCACGTCACACCAGGCTCCACGTCACACTAGTCTCCACGTCACACCAGGCTCCACGTCACACTAAGCTCCACGTCACACTAAGCTCCACGTCACACTAAGCTCCACGTCACACTAGTCTCCACGTCACACCAGGCTCCACGTCACACTAAGCTCCACGTCACACCAGGCTCCACGTCACACTAAGCTCCACGTCACACTAAGCTCCACGTCACACCAGGCTCCACGTCACACTAAGCTCCACGTCACACTAAGCTCCACGTCACACCAGGCTCCACGTCACACTAAGCTCCACGTCACACTAAGCTCCACGTCACACCAGGCTCCACGTCACACTAGGCTCCACGTCACACACTAGGCTCCACGTCACACACCAGGCTCCACGTCACACTAGGCTCCCCCTCACGTCAACCCTTCCCAGGCCGAGTACTCTCCTCGTCAACAGCTCGGGGCACAGACTCCCTGAGCTGTGCTTAATTAATATGTTCAACTTGGATGACAAAGCACAGAACTTGTGGAAGGCTTCCTTAATGACGCAACTCTGGCCAGACCTCCCAGGGTAGGTGCTTGGGTCTGTCTCCCAGGCTGCGTCACTCTCCCACGGTGGTAGTCTCTCTCTCCCAGCCAGGGTCAGCCTCCCACGGTGGTAGTCTCTCTCTCCCAGCCAGGGTCAGCCTCCCACGGTGGTAGTCTCTCTCTCCCAGCCAGGGTCAGCCTCCCATGGTGGTAGTCTCTCTCTCCCAGCCAGGGTCAGCCTCCCACGGTGTTAGTCTCTCTCCCAGCCAGGGTCAGCCTCCCACGGTGGTAGTCTCTCTCTCCCAGCCAGGGTCAGCCTCCCACGGTGGTAGTCTCTCTCTCCCAGCCAGGGTCAGCCTCCCACGGTGTTAGTCTCTCTCCCAGCCAGGGTCAGCCTCCCACGGTGGTAGTCTCTCTCTCCCAGCCAGGGTCAGCCTCCCACGGTGGCAGTCTCTCTCCCAGCCAGGGTCAGCCTCCACGGTGGCAGTCTCTCTCCCAGCCAGGGTCAGCCTCCCACGGTGGTAGTCTCTCTCCCAGCCAGGGTCACTCTCCCACGGCGGCAGTCTCTCTCCCAGCCAGGGTCAGCCTCCCACGGTGGCAGTCTCTCTCCCAGCCAGGGTCAGCCTCCCACGGTGGCAGTCTCTCTCCCAGCCAGGGTCAGCCTCCCACGGTGGTAGTCTCTCTCTCCCAGCCAGGGTCAGCCTCCCACGGTGGCAGTCTCTCTCCCAGCCAGGGTCAGCCTCCCAGCCTCCCACGGTGGCAGTCTCTCTCCCAGCCAGGGTCAGCCTCCCACGGTGTTAGTCTCTCTCCCAGCCAGGGTCAGCCTCCACGGTGGCAGTCTCTCTCCCAGCCAGGGTCAGCCTCCCACGGTGTTAGTCTCTCTCCCAGCCAGGGTCAGCCTCCACGGTGGCAGTCTCTCTCCCAGCCAGGGTCAGCCTCCCACGGTGGCAGATAAAATATTACGTCACATTCCATTGCTGAATACAAAAATTGATGGATAAGGTTTATCATTAGTAGTGTAAAAACCACTACTAATGTTAACTACTTTACGTTAACTCTCAAGACTCCACATGGGTTGGAGACGAGATTAACATACTATAGTAACTCTAAGGGATAGAATCTACGATCCCTGAATTTAGATACAAATACATTAATTAAATTCCATAGTCACTAATAGTCATACAGCATATTATTTTGCTGTATATGTATTATGTAGTCGTGGGGTAGTACAGACGGTTACAGTGATAGGGAGGAGTGAGGATGGTTACGGTGAAAAAGGTCTTGTGTGTAGTGAAGATGAAGCCTCCGTGTCCCGTGCAACGCCGGGGACTCCGAGCCAGTGTATTTATACGTTAAAATGTCTCGTTACCTAGCAGGAGCCGGTCGGCCGAGCGGACAGCACGCTGGACTTGTGATCCTGTGGTCCCGGGTTCAATCCCGGGCGCCGGTGAGAAACAATGGGCAGAGTTTCTTTCACTTTATGCCCCTGTTACCTAGCAGTAAATAGGTACCTGGGTGTTAGTCAGCTGTCACGGGCTGCTTCCTGGGGGTGGAGGCCTGGTCGAGGACCGGGCCGCGGGGACACTAAAGCCCCGAAATCATCTCAAGATAACCTCAAGAAGGGGAAGCTGTCGAAGGCCCTATTCGGCCCCATTCAAGATGATCAGGTCATCCAAGATAACTTGGTGAATATAAAGGAAGCAAAAGTCATACCTAGAGGAAGCCTCAGTATTTTTGTGAAGCAATGAGCATACTTACAGAGGAAGCAATAGTCATACTTAGAGGAAGCCTCAGTACTTTTGTGAAGCAATGAGCATACTTACAGAGGAAGCAATAGTCATACTTAGAGGAAACCTCAGTATTTTTGTGAAGCAATGGTCATACTTACAGAGGAAGCAATAGTCATACTTAGAGGAAACCTCAGTATTTTTGTGAAGCAATGGTCATACTTACAGAGGAAGCAATAGTCATACTTAGAGGAAACCTCAGTATTTTTGTGAAGCAATGGTCATACTTACAGAGGAAGCAATAGTCATACTTAGAGGAAACCTCAGTATTTTTGTGAAGCAATGGAGATATTTACAGAGGAAGCCTCGCTGATACGTGCAACAGGCGACCCGACCGTCCACCCGGACCAGTGAAGCCTGCTCCACACACCACTGATGAAGCTTTGCGTCTCCTGTGACGGAGTTATTACCTCAGGATTGAGATGCTTCAACCCCGTCCTATTGTCAGAGGCAAATCCCTGATTGCCATTTGTGTCAGGGGAAGATCTGATTTACCGCGCAGTGTTTCAAGGGAATCAGATATACGCTTTGACTCAACTAATCCTCCCAGCACGGCATCCTAATGCTGGATGTAGGCGCTGTGGAGTGTTTAGGAGTTAGACAATTATGTCTTTCCGATTTATACATATATTATGTATAAATCGGAAAATGTAACGCAGTTTTTACGGTGTTATTTGCGAGTTTACTTGATTCAGTGAGCTATTGTGGTGAGCTTAATAACTTTTCCGGCGGTTGACAGGTCTTGATACCAATACAGAATGCAATATTCCGAGCCATTGCTCTTCTAAACTATTGGGTATTATGGGGCGAAACTTTTCAAGTTTGAAAAGTGGAATGACCTGAGTTAATACTTAGGACTGAGGACTAGTGACCAATCATTGATGATCAAAGACTAAGCTTTCAAGACTTTCATCTTAAGCTTTAATATTATACACTTCAAGGAATTGTTCTTGAATACAGTGGACCACACTGTGTGGGACCGAGTGACCAGGAATACAGTGGACCACACATTATGGGACCGATGTAAGTCTGTGTATTTATGTAAGATCACCACATAGAAGATTCTCAAAGGAATTGATAGGGTAGACAAAGACTGTTTATTTAACACAAGGGGCACACGCACTAGGGGACACAGGTGGGAAATGAGTGCCCATATGTGCCACAGAGACGTTAGAGAGAACTTTGTCAGTGTCAGAGTAGTTAACAGATGGAATGCATTAGGCAGTGATGTGGTGGAGGCTGACTCCATACACAGTTTCAAATGTAGATATGATAGAGCCCAGTAGGCTCAGGAATCTGTACACCAGTTGATTGACAGTTGAGAGGCGGGAACCAAAGAGCCAGAGCTCAATCCCCTCAAGCACAAATAGGTGAGTACATACACACACACACACACACACACACACACACACACACACACACACACACACACACACACACACACACACACACACACACACACACACCTGTTGGCCATAAAAACGTGTGTGTGTGTGTGTGTGTGTGTGTGTGTGTGTGTGTGTGTGTGTGTGTGTGTGTGTGTGTGTGTGTGTGTGTGTGTGTGTGTGTGTGTGTGTGTGGTATTCACCCAATGTTACTCGAATACTCCAATGTACACCAGTACAGACCAAAGTGTGGATACCGGATATGTCAATGGAAGCCAAATTGACGCCTCGTCCGATACTTGTCCACGAACACATATATATGTAAATACTGACGGAGTGAAGCGACCATCGCAGAGCAGGAATGTAAAGGAGGCGATTGTTAGGAGCAGTAGCCGGCCACACAATCCTCTGTACTGTCCCACACAAGGAGGCGAACTCACTCACTCTCTCTCACTCTCTCTCAAAATACAACGATCTCTACTTCACGATAGCCCTCGGCGATATATCTACGAAAGTTCAGCGATACCTGATTCAAGGCATCAGCGATACCTTCTTTCTATCTCTTTCTAAGAGAAACGAAAGCCATTTAAGACCCCCCCCCCCACGATATTGCTCACACATACGCATCTCAACGATATCTTTATTCCGATTGACTCGAACGATATTTTCTAACACAACAATATCGCTAACAGCCACCCGAACGATATCTTTTGGATTTAGTTGTACATCCTGTACTAGAGATGGCAATTTTTTCGTTGACTTTCAATATATTTAAATTATATGAATCCGCCCTCACAGCAGCATGGATAGCATGTCACAAAGGTGAGGACAGGTGTCGCTAGAGTGATTACAGGTGCTACTTGAATGATTACAAGTGTCACTTGAGTGGCAGCAGTCAATATACCCCAACACGCCTCATCCAAAGCATTGTGTCTCTCACCCTCTTGCAGCCTTCGTGTTTTGCGCCCTGCTGGAGTTCACCTTCGTCAATTACCTATGGCGTCGACGACCCCAGGTGGAACTGCGTTCTAGGGGCGGCTCGAACGGCACCTGCCTGGCGGAGCGCTACGCCCATATCACCACCTACGCCCACCCTCAGAAGTCAACAGGGGCGCCCGTCCCAAGTCCCACCGAAGTGAAGATTACTCCAGCGGGAGGCAGCGCTGTGGTCACCACTCCAGGGAGCGCCGCTCCTGGTGGCTCCGACGTGGTGAGTATAGACACTGTGGCACTTGTCTTGTGGCTTATGTCTCATCTAATGCCTTAATTGTGTCTTAGCTTATGGCTTCCCTTATCATGTCTCATCTCGTTCAGTGGTTAAGTATTTGTTTGATTGTTATTTTGATTTGCCACTTCGTTAGAAATGCCACTGTTTGGACTAGCTAGAATAAATTCAAGCAGCTTGTTCATCCTGTCGAGGGCTATACATAGATATCCGTCAATATTATGATGGTTATGTTTATACTAGTACGTCACTTTTTAAGGGAATTGCTAGAGTCCGTTCAAAAAACGACGTACGATGTGAAAGACGTGACGGGGTATCTATATATATACAGTTTCCAAGACAAAATTCACATACAAGAATATTGAATGTTTCAGGGCTTTTTTTTTAAGTATAATAATTTCTTCTACAAAGTTTTACTTTTGTTTGTTGACATGATAGAGTGAAGTACTCTATGGACGACCTGTTAAGTACAGTACACTCTGCTGCTACTGTTTTATTAAACTATTCCCTCTCAAGTACTTTTCACCTACTGTCACTCGTGTACTACCCAACCACTCCAATGTACTACTCTAGTGAGCACTTCCGCACTCTCCCCCTTGACCACCAACCCCCGCTCTCTCTCCCCCAGATCATCACCCCTAAATGTCCCTCCCCCCCCCCCCCTGACCATTAGCCCCCCCCCCTCCCCCCAGTCTCTCCCTCACTGGCACTCACCCAAGTATTGTGGCTCTCCCTGACAGCACAAGAGTGCCACGTCGCCGGGGCACGAAGACACCAGCCACATGACGGCCCAGTTCGTCAGAGCCATCAAGCAGAGCAACAAGATCAAGGCTCGACAGATCGATGAGTACTGCCGCGGGCTCTTCCCTCTTCTCTTCGGCCTCTTCAACATCTTCTACTGGTGCTACTACATGCTCTAGGTGCTCACTGGCTCTACGACCTGCCTTGGCTCTATGGGCTCACAGGGTGAATGATTCACTGGCACTAGGTGCTCACTGGCTCTATGGGCTCAAAGGCTCTATGGGCTCAAAGGCTCTTGGAGTTCGTTGCGGACGGTCAACACCACAGCGGGTGAACCTATCCTGCAACCTCACCCGCTTGCTTGCTTGCAAGGTCATCCACAAGCGCTGATCTTGCAAGTCCTGTGGATGACTCGAAGCTCATCCTCAGCCACTCACTGGGTAGTTACGCTTAAACCAGGCTTCCTGTCTCATAACTAGCTCACAGCGAATCTCTTACGAGTGCTGTGGAGAATGGCATCTCAAGTACCCGCTATATTAAGTCTCTTCATGCTATCCACACACACAAAAATAATGTACATACATACATACATGGCTACGAGGTCTTCTGATGACAATTTAAAAATAGTAATCACTATTATATATTACAAGTGGAACTACGATGACTTTATTTGCTGTCTGCTTGCGCGATGTTCCAGGAGATCGCGTCGAAATATGTCAACACACACATGAACACGTGGAACCGTGAAGCTGTACCACAACACAGCACACACAGGGAAGGTCACCGTGAAGCTGTATCACAACACAACACACACAGGGAAGGTCACCGTGAAGCTGTTCAACAACACAGCACACACAGGGAAGGTCACCGTGAAGCTGTACCACAACACAGCACACACAGGGAAGGTCACCGTGAAGCTGTTCAACAACACAGCACACACAGGGAAGGTCACCGTGAAGCTGTACCACAACACAGCACACACAGGGAAGGTCACCGTGAAGCTGTTCAACAACACAGCACACACAGGGAAGGTCACCGTGAAGCTGTACCACAACACAGCACACACAGGGAAGGTCACCGTGAAGCTGTACCACAACACAGCACACACAGGGAAGGTCACCGTGAAGCTGTACCACAACACAGCACACACAGGGAAGGTCACCGTGAAGCTGTACCACAACACAGCACACACAGGGAAGGTCACCATGAAGCTGTATCACAACACAGCACACACAGGGAAGGTCACCGTGAAGCTGTATCACAACACAACACACACAGGGAAGGTCACCGTGAAGCTGTTCAACAACACAGCACACACAGGGAAGGTCACCGTGAAGCTGTACCACAACACAGCACACACAGGGAAGGTCACCGTGAAGCTGTACCACAACACAGCACACACAGGGAAGGTCACCATGAAGCTGTATCACAACACAGCACACACAGGGAAGGTCACCGTGAAGCTGTATCACAACACAGCACACAGGGAAGGCACCGTGAAGCTGTTCAACCACACAGCATACACAGGGAAGGTCTCCATGAAGCTGTACCACAACACAGCACACACAGGGAAGGTCACCGTGAAGCTGTATCACAACACAACACACACAGGGAAGGTCACCATGAAGCTGTACCACAACACACACGGGGAAGGTGATCGTGAAGCTGTACCACAACACAGCACACAGGGAAGGTCACCGTGAAGCTGTACCACAACACAGCACACACAGGGACGGTCACCCATGAAGCTGTACCACAACACAGCACACAGGGAAGGTCACCGTGAAGCTGTATCACAACACAACACACACAGGGATGGTCACCATGAAGCTGTACCACAACACAACACACACAGGGAAGGTGATCGTGAAGCTGTACCACAACACAGCACACAGGGAAGGTCACCGTGAAGCTGTACCACAACACAGCACACAGGGAAGGTCACCATGAAGCTGTATCACAACACAGCACACAGGGAAGGTCACCGTGAAGCTGTATCACAACACAACACACACAGGGAAGGTCACCGTGAAGCTGTACCACAACACAGGACACAGGGAAGGTCACCGTGAAGCTGTACCACAACACAGCATGTACTCAGCAGAGCCTGGCAAGTCCCTCAAGGCGGTCCACAAGAATGTTAATAACATACACAAGTAACAAACTTGTGTGAAGTATGTGGAGGTCACATTAGACTTACATATACAGGTATATATATATATATTTTTAGGTAAAATGTCAACAGCCTACCTTCAGGGTTTTCCTAGAGCTCTCTCTCCTGATCAATCATACACACACACACATATTATATATATATATTATATATATATATATATATATATATATATATATATATATATATATATATATATATATATATATATATATATATATATATTACACCCACACACACGTTTTATAACACAATACCGATTATATTGTAAATATGAAATAATGGAACACAAGCCAAATAAATAATCTTATAGAATAAGGTCGCTTGGCAGCTTAAGAGTTCCACCTCAATGTTGAGACACAACTTGCTAAGTATACTGGGTTTCGAACCATTTCTTTTCCAGATTTCAAGAGGCTGACAGCGTTGCTTACGCTTGCCGGACTCTCAATATATATATGTATAAACATATGTCGTACCTAGTAGCCAGAACACACTTCTCGGCCTACTATGCAAGGCCCGATTTGCCTAATAGGCCGAGTGATTTTCTTTATTTTCAATAAATTGTTTCCAAATAGTATATTTGAATTATTATTATTACATTATATTAGGAACATAAATTATTTACTTAGTTGTGATAGTTTAGGTTAGGTTAAAATAGGATAGGTTAGGTTAGGTTAGGTAGGGTTGGTAAGGTTCGGTCATATATCTACGTTAGTTTTAACTTGAATTTAAAAAAATTAACTCGTATATAATGAAATAGATAGCTTTATCATTTCATAAGAAAAAAAATGAAAAAAATATAAATTCAGGAAAACTTGGCTTATTAGGCAAATCGGGCCTTGCATAGTAGGCCAAGTATTGCGTTCTGGCTACTAGGTACGACATATATATATATATATATATATATATATATATATATATATATATATATATATATATGTCGTACCTAGTAGCCAGAACGCATTTCTCTGCCTACTATTCAAGACCCGATTTGCCTAATAAGCCAAGTTTTCATGAATTAATTGTTTTTCGACTACCTAACCTACCTAACCTAACCTAACCGAACTTTTTCGACTACCTAACCAAACCTAACCTATAAAGATAGGTTAGGTTAGGTTAGGTAGGGTTGGTTAGGTTCGGTCATATATCTACGTTAATTTTAACTTCAGTAAAAACAAATTGGCCACATTCATAATGAAATGGGTAGCTTTATCATTTCATAAGAAAAAAATTAGAGAAAATATATTAATTCAGGAAAACTTGGCTTATTAGTCAAATCGGGCCTTGAATAGTAGGCCAAAAAGTGCGTTCTGGCTACTAGGTACGACATATATATATATATATATATATATATATATATATATATATATATATATATATATGTCGTACCTAGTAGCCAGAACTCACTTCTCAGCCTACTATGCAAGGCCCGATTTGCCTAATAAGCCAAGTTTTCCTGAATTAATATATTTTCTCTAATTTTTTTCTTATGAAATGATAAAGCTACCCATTTCATTATGTATGAGGCCAATTTTTTTTTATTGGAGTTAAAATTAACGTAGATATATGACCGAACCTAACCAACCCTACCTAACCTAACCTAACCTATCTTTATAGATTAGGTTCGGTTAGGTAGCCAAAAAAAGGTAGGTTAGGTTAGGTTAGGTAGGTTAGGTAGTTGAAAAAACATTAATTCATGAAAACTTGGCTTATTAAGCAAATCGGGCCTTGCATAGTAGGCTGAGAAGTGCGTTCTGGCTACTAGGTACGACATATATATATATATATATATATATATATATATATATATGTCGTACCTAATAGCCAGAACGCACTTCTCAGCCTACTATTCAAGGCCCGATTTGCCTAATAAGCCAAGTTTTCATGAATTAATGTTTTTTCGTCTACCTAACCTACCTAACCTAACCTAACCTAGAGTTTTTTTGGCTACCTAACCTAACCTTACCTATAAATATAGGTTAGGTTAGGTTAGGTAGGGTTGGTTAGGTTCGGTCATATATCTACGTTAATTTTAACTCCAATAAAAAAAAATTGACCTCATACATAGAGAAAAGGGTTGCTTTATCATTTCATAAGAAAAAAATTATAGTAATATATTAATTCAGGAAAACTTGGCTTATTAGGCAAATCGGGCCTTGAATAGTAGGCTGAGAAGTGAGTTCTGGCTACTAGGTACGACATATATATATATATATATATATATATATATATATATATATGTATATATATATATATATATGTATATATATATATATATATATATATATATATATATATATATATATATATATATATATATATATATATATATATATATATATATATATATATGTCGTACCTAGTAGTCAGAACGCACTTCTCAGCCTACTATGCAAGAGCCGATTTGCCTACTAAGCCAAGTTTTCATGAATTAATTGCTTTTCGACTACCTAACCTACCTAACCTAATCTAACCAAACTTTTTCGGCTACCTAACCTAACCTAACCTATAGAGATAGGTTAGGTTAGGTTAGGTAGGGTTGGTTAGGTTCGGTCATATATCTACGTCAATTTTTACTCCAATAAATTTTTTTTTACCTCATACATAATGAAATGGGTAGCTTTATCATTTCATAAGAAAAAAATTAGAGAAAATATAATAATTCAGGAAAACTTGGCTTATTAGGCAAATCGGGCCTTGCATAGTAGGCTGACAAGTGCGTTCTGGCTACTAGGTACGACATATATATATATATATATATTGGTGTATACTGGCAGCAGGTTTTCTTTCAAACATGTTTCATTGAATATGACCGCATATTCTGTATTTATTATTTTCTGGTTTAGGGCTTCTATCCCTCTAACTATTTTCTTAGCATCAGGGCTTAATTGAAATAGGAGTTCTCCAAAACTCATTTTCGTACTTTTAAGGTGAAGAAAAGAAGTGATTTACTATAGAGTGTATTACACTTATTTGTAATACACTCTATTACAATATTGTAATACACTCTATTTTCTTTGTGTTTGGATAGGAGATGCCTCGTATGGGCCAATAAGCCTTCTGCAGCCTCTATGTTTCACCTCACATTTATCCCTTATGTATCCCCCCATGTTTTTCACCTTCATTGTATTATCACCTGACCTAATGCGGGTATAAAATCAACTAGTATTGTAAGATCTGTTCACTTGAGAATGAACCATGGAGGTTCGAAACGTCGTGCAAATTATACAAATAAGTGTAATACACTCTATAGTAAATCACTTCTTTTCTTCACCTTAAAAGTACGAAAATGAGTTTTGGAGAACTCCTATTTCAATTAAGCCCTGATGCTAAGAAAATAGTTAGAGGGATAGAAGCCCTAAACCAGAAAATAATAAATACAGAATATGCGGTCATATTCAATGAAACATATATATATATATATATATATATATATATATATATATATATATATATATATATATATATATATATATATATATATATGTCGTACCTAATAGCCAGAACGCACTTCTCAGCCTACTATTCAAGGCCCGATTTGCCTAATAAGCCAAGTTTTCATGAATTAATGTTTTTTCGTCTACCTAACCTACCTAACCTAACCTAACCTAGCTTTTTTTGGCTACCTAACCTAACCTTACCTATATATATAGGTTAGGTTAGGTTAGGTAGGGTTGGTTAGGTTCGGTCATATATCTACGTTAATTTTAACTCCAATAAAAAAAATTGACCTCATACATAGAGAAAAGGGTTGCTTTATCATTTCATAAGAAAAAAATTATAGTAAATATATTTATTCAGGAAAACTTGGCTTATTAGGCAAATCGGGCCTTGAATAGTAGGCTGAGAAGTGAGTTCTGGCTACTAGGTACGACATATATATATATATATATGTCGTACCTACTAGCCAGAACGCACTTCTCAGCCTACAATTCAGGGCCCGATTTGCCTAATAAGCCAAGTTTTCCTGAATTAATATATTTTCTCAATTTTTTTCTTATGAAATGATAAAGCTACCCATTTCATTATGTATGAGGTCATTTTTTTTTTATTGGAGTTAAAATTAACGTAGATATATGACCGAACCTAACCAACCCTACCTAACCTAACCTAACCTATCTTTATGGGTCAGGTTAGGTTAGGTAGCCGAAAAAGCTAGGTTAGGTTAGGTTAGGTAGGTTAGGTAGTCGAAAAACAATTAATTCATGAAAACTTGGCTTATTAGGCAAATCGGGCCTTGCATAGTAGGCTGAGAAGTGCGTTCTGGCTACTAGGTACGACATATATATATATATATATATATATATATATATATATATATATATATATATATATATATATATATATATATATATATATATATATATATATATATGTCGTACCTAGTAGCCAGAACTCACTTCTCAGCCTACTATTCAAGGCCCGATTTGCCTAATAAGCCAAGTTTTCCTGAATTAATATATTTACTATATTTTTTTTCTTATGAAATGATAAAGCAACCCTTTTCTCTATGTATGAGGTCAATTTTTTTTTATTGGAGTTAAAATTAACGTAGATATATGACCGAACCTAACCAACCCTACCTAACCTAACCTAACCTATATTTATAGGTAAGGTTAGGTTAGGTAGCCAGAAAAAGCTAGGTTAGGTTAGGTTAGGTAGGTTAGGTAGACGAAAAAACATTAATTCATGAAAACTTGGCTTATTAGGCAAATCGGGCCTTGAATAGTAGGCTGAGAAGTGCGTTCTGGCTATTAGGTACGACATATATATATATATATATATATATATATATATATATATATATATATATATATATATATATATATATATATATATATATATATGTCGTACCTAATAGCCAGAACGCACTTCTCAGCCTACTATTCAAGGCCCGATTTGCCTAATAAGCCAAGTTTTCATGAATTAATGTTTTTTCGTCTACCTAACCTACCTAACCTAACCTAACCTAGCTTTTTTTGGCTACCTAACCTAACCTTACCTATAAATATAGGTTAGGTTAGGTTAGGTAGGGTTGGTTAGGTTCGGTCATATATCTACGTTAATTTTAACTCCAATAAAAAAAAATTGACCTCATACATAGAGAAAAGGGTTGCTTTATCATTTCATAAGAAAAAAATTATAGTAAATATATTAATTCAGGAAAACTTGGCTTATTAGGCAAATCGGGCCTTGAATAGTAGGCTGAGAAGTGAGTTCTGGCTACTAGGTACGACATATATATATATATATATATATATATATATATATATATATATATATATATATATATATATATATATATATATATATATATATATACACACACATTCACATGACCCGTTGCAGACATTGCAACTGACAGCTCTGTATTTCTGGATAAACTGAACCCTTTCAGACATAAATCCTTATGTTATATACGTGACCTTTCATTACAAAGCAGGATCTGTCGTAAACAGGATATGATATCTACATAATTCCTGTCATTTACATGATCTAACATGCTATATGCATGATGTATTTCGCATTGTACACACATGCCCAATCGCATTATACATGATCTGGCATATCACATATCTTAGCTAGGCACCGAGATTACCCAGGAGCCTTTGTCACAGGAACATGAACAGGATCTCTTTTGACTAAATTCACTTGCCACATTTTGCTCCCTGCACAATTTCGCGAGAATCTCACTTTTTCACATTTCCTAGGAAGGTCCCGGGTAATTTAGGCCTGAAGGCACACTAATCCAATCTGCTCCAACAAAACACTGGCCAAAAGTGGCCTAGCAGCGTTTTAGCCAGCCTAATCTACCGAGCTTAACTAGGCTACAGGCTTTGCTTACCCGTCAACGCTCTGTCTCTTCACCTTTGAAGCTACTGAACATATTTCGTGAAGGAACACAGGAAAACAAACACTCACACCCACTTCTATGAGATGATCGAGTCATTCTCCGCTTCTGAAGCAGTTATTCTAACGCTCATTCTACTAAGGCTTTATATAATTTTATATACAAGTGAGCTCATTGACAAAACAATGTGTATTACTTAAGACATAATATATATATATCCACAGTGCAAAATAATAAAGTTTGATTTGGTTTGCGGGATTCTAGTAACGGATGCTTATGCCCTTTGGAGGTTACGACCTCAGCTAACGTAGTTGTTTATAGTCTTACATGTAGGGAGAGATTGGCGTAACAAGCTCATTTTTTTTTTGTAGTACATATGCAGTTTATTCATATTCATGTTTAATCTTCGGACCTGCTTCCTCATTCTCTGCCTCCCATCCTCCCTCTCTTCTATCATGTTCCCTATCTCTCACTCCCTCTTTTAATTAGTACTCACATTTTCATTTGTGTAACATTTCTAACATTTGGGTTTCTTCAGTGACTAGCATCTGAAGCACCACACATCACACCACACAAACACACACACACACACATTTCTTGTAGTAGATAATGTAGTTTTCAACTACTTGTAGGGACAGGTTCGGTGTGATATCAACCCCCAGATCTTTCTCTCTATTTGACTCTTGCAGGATTTCACCTCCCAGGTGGTACCTTGTGTTCAGCCTTCTGCTCCCTTTGCCTAATTTCATTACTTTACACTTCCTTTAGTTGGACTTTGGTGTGTGTGTGTGTGTGTGTGTGTGTGTGTGTGTGTGTGCACGTGTGCGTGTGCATGTGTGTTTACTATTTGTATTTACTATTTGTGCTTGCAGAATCAAGCTATTAGCTCTTGGACCCCACCTTTCTAACCAATCTATTTTTCCTCAGTTATGTCTACTACAAATATTTCTATCACACACACACATTCCCAAGAAGCAATCTGCAGCAGCTGTCTAACTCCCAGGTACCTATTAACTGTTAGGTGAACAGGTGCATCAGTGTGAAAGAAACTCTACCCATTTGTTGCTGCCTCGGCCAGGAATCGAACCAGGGCCCTTAGGACTACGACCCCCCAAGCACTGTCCACTCAGCCATGAGGCACCCTGTGTATATGTCTGTCTGTCAGTCTTTGTCTGTCTACCCCTTGATGGAAGGAAACGGGTAATTATTAGAATAATGATAATAATAAATATCATAATAATAACAAAACAGCATTATTGCCTAACAAGGATAAACTACAGAACAACCAGATTAATATTCCCTTTGCACAGACCAGTTCCAGCATTCTTACCACCAGAAATGTGCAAAGTTATGGAAAGCATTTTGGCCACCAAAGCCCACTGTTACTTCAATAATTCCAAAATCTTGAAGATGAATGGTTAATAATACGCAGCAGTATGCAAGAAGAAGGATAAAATTACCCCCTACCCCCATCCTCAGAGCTACAGATAAGAGTAAAGGTCATTTCAAGTGATGTGCATAAACAATTATTGCAGTTCAACTCTACATGGACACAATGTTGGTGTTTCAAGCTAGAGTCACTTATATGAACACGCATGAACATCCACACATACACACACACATGAAAATTATAGTTTAATTAAACAAAAAATCAACTATCTCCTCAGACCTCCCCTCAAACTCCCCCCTCCCTGCCCCCACCACCACCAAAAGCTTCTTGACAATACAATTTACCTTCAACAGTGAACCTCGAGTAGAAAGCACAATGGTTTTTATTATAACATCACCAATTATTCTCATACTGATGTTAGTTTTTTAAGACAATATTCCTTTAATTTTAATCTAATAAAGCTTTGTCTTATTGATTTATCAAGAGCTCCTCTTCAGAAATGGTTTTGTACACTGATTCTAATAAAGTCTTTAACTTTGTCTTGAGTGCTTTTATTGAGTTCATCATTCACTGATTTACAGCAAGATGTGATGTAGGCTCACTTTAGCATGACCTGGTCGAAATGAGAGAATGGTTCAGGAAGTGTCCAATGGAATTTAATTCAACCAAGTGCAAAGTAATGAGTCTTGGTTCCTGGAAAAAAAGACCCTACAATGTGCTATGCATGGGAGAAGAAACTCCTTGGGAACCAATCAGAGAAAAGAACTTAATGGTCGATATTATATTCAACCTACCAATAGAATCCTACATCAAACAAATACTATCAGCTACATGTACAAAGTTAGCCAATATAAGAACTGCCTTTAAGAAAGTGAACAGGAAGTCTGTAGAGTGAATGCCACAAATGTCAGATAATTTCTAGAATATGCATCATCAGAATAGTCTTTGCCTCCTTACACATAAAACTTAGAGAGTAGAAATACAATGACAATCATGACATTATATATATGCCAAAACAAGAAGATAGAAGAAAAAGAAGTGATAAGATCACCACTTACAAAATACTAACAGGACTTGACCAAATTGACAAAGAGCTACTTCCTGAAACCAGCTACATCACGAACAAGAGGACACAGATTCAAGCTAAGGAAACAAAGATGCAAAAAAATATTAGAAAGTTTTCTTTTGCAAACAGAATGGTAGATGGTTGGAATAAGCTGGTGAGAAGGTGGTGGAGGCTAAAACCGTCGGTAGTTTCAAAGCGTTATATGACAAAGAGTGCTGGGAAGATGGGACACCACGAGCATGGCTCTCATCCTCTAACTACACTTAGGTAATTACACTTACAGTGATGTGGTGGAGGCAGACTCCATACACAGTTTCAAATGTAGATATAATAGAGTCCAGTAGGCTCAGGAATCTGTACACCAGTTGAGAAGCGGGACCAAAAAACAAGAGCTCAACCCCAGCAAGCACAACTAGGTGAGTACTTAGGTAATAGAAGCCCACTCAGAAAGGCATTGAGGTATTATTTATTAATCTTAAAATTTATAATTTTTTTTAATGTAATACAGGAATAGGAATATATAATGACTCTTATTACATGATAGAAAAATCATTAGCTATATCTAAAAGTGTTCTGCAGAAAATAGGTTGTATTTGAATCGGTACACTTCCATATTTAGCATAAAAATATATTTTTAGAATTTTAATATGCAACTCAAATAATCATATATAATCAATTAACAATATTTATAAAAATCTTATCCATATTTGAAGGCACTGGTTTCTATACTTATATATTTATTCTAAACTCATTAACAGAGAAAATTGTAATACAGTACTCTAACCCTCTAAAATCCATACCTCCACATAAGGCTAGACCTTACAAAATCCAGACATTCTAAGCAATAGACCAGTTTGGCAACAAACTGTCCCACCAAAAATTCATATCCTGATTTTTGAGTTACCACTGTGAAACCCAGCTCATGAATAGTAAACTTTAAATGTTTCTAGCTTCTTTTTCTAGTTTCAGATAAATAGTTTCTTCAGATTTTTGTTATTCTTCAGTTATTCGTAGACATGCTTTAGTGTGCTTGTATCGATACAGAAGAGTGACTTTCTCATTCATAGGCTTACTGAGTATGTAGACCTACTAATCATTTACCACCCGTTTTCATCAACCTTCTCTCTGAATACGTTATTTACAAGTTGAAATCTATGGTATTGAGGAAGAGCAGCAAGGGTAAATCTGATAGAGTATGAATAATGCCCTAACCATAGATAAATAAGCAGACTTACTGAAAAAAGTAAATCATGACTTGGGGAGGCCAGCAGCTGGCAATGTATAGCTTTGACAATAGTACTGTTTCATAAAAATCAAAGAAGCACCTCATGAAGTTTTGCAAAAAGTATGGTATTTAAGTGAGTATGATACTTTGCACAAGGATGTTTCCCAGTAACTCACTCAACTTCGTAGCTTGGGGGTAGCTGTAAGAATGCACAAACCTGAGACATTGAGGACTTTTAAAGGTCAGTACATGTTAAATGTCTAGTGGTAATTTATGTTAAAAGGTCTGTTGAATGTGCAGCTCCAAAGAGTAGAGTGCTATAACCATATTGTGCTGCCACTTGTTTACCAAGACCAGCTTAAGCTGAATAATGTACATAAAGATTATATACGTATTTTTTTTTTTAAGAGCAGAATTATTATTTAAATGCACACCACATTCTTTATATATGTTTTTTTTTATCTAACTATGAAGAAACATTGGTCCGTTTACTACAGGAAAACTACAATAATTCTAGATATAAATAACTGGTAAAGAAAAATATTTAAAAAATCTGTATTTCACAAGAATTCAGATCAAGCTTGGAAAGGCAATTAAAATTTTGGAGTTGCCACTGTACTGTAGAGTCCTGTAGTAAATAATAAGAGTACATAATTAAATAAATCTGTGAAAACGATGTACATTTCCATCATCTAAACATCAAACACATACTGTTTAACCACAACAAATTAGTGCCATTATGAAAGTTTAGTAAAATTAAAGATTTTCCTCAATTATTTTATCTGTATATATCCTTTGAAATATAATTACTGTATGGCGCATTTAACATTACATTATACAGAATACGTAACCCCCAGACAGAACACATTGTACTGTTGCACATGGAAGCAATTAATGGAAAATATTTGAATGCTACTTATTTGAATGCTACTCAAGGTGCTTTCAGTTCTTATTAGATGGAAGCCTACTAGGTCATGAGAGGCTTCAATGAAATAGTCACTAAGTAAATTTCTAGGCCATGGGAAGCTCTGATGTGGCTGCATAGCGTCCATACACATAATGGAAGAGTTGACGTTCAATGTCGGCCAAGAGACCTGATGCTCCAATCCTGTGTTGGAATTTGAAAATGGGTTTATTATCATTATTATTATTATTATTATTATTATTATTATTATTATTAAAAAAATCACACTCAGCAGATGACTTATGACTCTTTGTTAGCAGGCTTAGAGTTCTCCCTTCCCAAAGCTCAACTTAATCCTTCCACTGTGCGACACAGCTGAAGCCATGGAGGCCAATTATCGGTAACCTGCATGACATGGCTAGAGCCGTTTTAAAGTGCCGATTTAAAACTCCCACAGGATCACGGGGAGTTTTAGGAATCCTCAGCCCTCCAGTAAAGATTCCATCTTGGACAAAAATTGTGGGCTTCCCTCTTGGGTGTTTGGGTCTCATTATTGAAAGGGCAATCACAGGTAGCACATGCTGCAGCAGCTAGTGCCCACAGTATCACATATTATGGATGAAATAAATACCTGATTTTTTTTCCCTAATGGTAAGTGTCATAGAAGATGCAGACTATGATAAGGACCATGTACAAAGTTCAGGTATCAGTCAACACAATGCTGGTTACGATGTTCACAGTGGGAGGCAGACATTCACAGCCCACAGCCATGGTTTCATCCATCTGTGAATCACGAGATGGAACCTCACATTCCTCTAAAAAATAAACTTGTGGAAAATTATTCGTATTCATGATTTAGTGACAGGAATATGATAATAGCAGTATTGTGGCTAGATTTAGCAATGTGCTTTGAATATTACAGGCAGTTTGCTACATCATATGGCTTTGACTGATGGCATCGTCTGCTAGTAGAATGTGCCACTATGCTGTGCTTGGATCTCATACCACATCCACCAGAAGTATTTGCTGGTTTGTTATGGTGCATAAAAATGTAGATACTGTATATATGATGTGTGTATACAGTGAAGTAACAGCAAAACTGCACATTCTATTATTTAAAGAATTGTCCACAAAGTGTCGAGATATTCATGAGAAATATATCTGTGCGCACATATGTTGTGTGCTATTTGTAACATTATTGACAATCCAATGTATCATTACACTTGAAAAAATAATGGTAAATTCCTTGGGAATATATATAAAATGTAATACAGTATACTCAATGCATGTAGTAACACTTTCATGCAAAATATGGGGATTCAAGCGGAACTCTGGTAACTGGTCACAAAATTATTACACCCACCAGAACCTTTTAGTGGCTGTAATGATGCATGAAAAATGTAGATAGTTATATATGACATGTGTATATAGTGTAATAATAGCAAGAACTGTATGTTGATTAAAAAAATGTGTACAGTATGTTGATTGTTCTAAACATATATTGTGTGCATATTATTGATACTAATATATTTGAGTATTTGAATGTTTCCAAACATTTTATTTTTAAATGCCTAAAGAGGCATGCTATTTAATAATATTACTGGGAAAACGAGAGAAAAAACTAATCAGAGACATAGAAATTTTTTTTTTTAATTTTAAAGAATCTTTATGGCAACTCCCGTCCTACAGCGGAGCCAGCTCGACTGTCCCAGGGCGAATGCTGCACCAACACTCGTTAAACGTGAGACTTGCAGATTTCACCACGGTGAAAATCCTCTTATTTTTGTTTTTACTTTGATCAGGAAATGCATTTTAACAATATTAGAATGAAATTTTTTTTTGGAATAAATTTTGTCTGCAGAGCAAAGTGTTGTAAAGCAGTCTAAGGGGTCAATAAAACTTATTTTGCTAGTTTAATCAACTAACTGGGCACCTGGTTATAAACCTTCTGCCAGATCATGTTCCTGGATAACTGAAAAGTGAGCTATATGAAGTAAAAGCTCTGAGCCTACTAACTGGTTTTAAAAGTGGTTTGCTCTTGTACCATTTGTATTTTAGCAAAAATAAGCATCTTTTCAATAATTTATTGTTGGAAGAATTGCATCTGCATAAATAAAATTTGATAAAATTCACATGTTCTAATAATACTCTAAACTTGCATGCATTTCTAGTATCATTATCATTAACCATGATACCATCTATATATAGATGGAGATACTAGACAGCCCTGACCGCCTACCACATTAAAGTGGTGCCCCACTGCTCATTGCATTAACACTCCCACACGCAGCATATCCCGCATGCAAAACGCTCCTCTGCATTTAATAACACTCTGCCAACTCAAATATGCTTAATACCTAGTACTCTCAAGGGAAAGACAGACATGAGAAAGAACATAGAAGACAAGACAATGACATACAACATTCTAAGGAAAACGGACCAAGTACACCAGAGAAACAATGCTTAAAGTGAGGAACAGCGGAATAATGGGACATAGATGAAAACTGTCAACAAATGGGATGAGGTCAGAAAGAACTTCTCCAGCACAACTCAAAAATAAGTTGAATGTATTGGATAAAGATGTTTAGGAAATGGTGTCAGAGAATCACAGTACAGTTTTATACTGATGATCAGAAGGCCTGATCCTGCAAATAGATCTACGTGCATACACCTATCAACTCGGCTACGGACAACCTAAAGAAAATTCTTCATATTCTCCGATTTTCTCACCTGAACATGTGGTTGTTAAGCCAGTCATTACCAAGTTCCTCCTTGATGAGAATTAGCCACACAAGAGCATCCTTGGCTGCTCGGATCCCACCAGCAGGCTTGAATCCAATCTGAAAAGTATTAATTATTTAACCATTCAGATAGGATAGTAGATATCGGCTAGCAGGAATGTAGGTAAACATACATTCTTGTTGATCTACTCTCTTCTGCATACAGATCTCTTTTTCTAGACAGATACAAAATTGTAGTATAATTTTGTTATGAAATATTTATTATTTGGCACATATGCACATAGGACCATATCCCAAGTCTAAGGGTTACTCTCAAAATAACATATCAAGTTAAAGACTCCTCACCTTGTGTCCAGTACGTTCATAGAAATCCCTGATGGCTCGACACATGACAACTCCTACAGGGAGGATAGCATTGACTCCTTCCTTGCCAGTGGAAGTTTTGATGAAGTCAGCCCCAGCCATCATGGCTACAAGGGAAGCCTTGTACACATTGTTCAAAGAACCAAGTTCTCCAACAGCCAAGATGACCTTCATGTGGGCATCACCACAGGCCTCTCGCATCACCTTCACCTCGTCATATAATCCTGCAAACAGTTTTACATATCAAGTTATGATGAGTACATATTCAGACACCAATTTTTGTAGAGATGTTTATAGGTATGGAATAGAATTATTTTCAATATTTTACATTATAAGACTCATAACAGTGAAATCATCACCATTTCAATGAGATCTTCAGGAAAAATTTTAAGTATTGAACTGGATGAACTATTTTTAGTAATAATCCAAACACATGAGCTAAAATCTCATGTGTTCTTTTCATGATTTTCAAAATACATGATCTTTTCCGGGTAATATACCTGGAAAAAATCATCAAGGCAAATAGGGGAACCTTCAACAAGCCGCCGACTTCCTGTCCTCGTCGCAGCCACTAGGGTTAGTGGCCCTCAGGTAAATCAGGTAAAAATAAAAACTTCATTTTCATTATTAATTTGATTATTAATTTTGATTCCTCTTAATATCCGCTCAAAACACAGGTAAATGTAAAATGAAGCTTCTATTAGCTCTGTGAAGAGGGAACATGTGGTGTTGGCTATCGAATATACAACAGTGGAAACATGCTTGCCCCTAGCCTCACAAGCGATATAGTCTGAGTTTGCCGGTTTACACAGCAGTAATTGGGAACCTGCTTGCTAATTGATTAGTTGTCATGTTCAGGGAAAAACTATTGGGTAAGGCTTACCATAAGTTATGGGAAGGTAATGTTCTAAGCCTATTAACAGGAGTCAGAAGCCATTTATTCCTGTACCCACTTGTGTAAACAAAATTTTTAAAATGAAAACATCGCTGAGAAAATTACACAGGTAAAAAGTGAGCAGGAAAAAATCTTAATTTTAAAAAATAAAGTTAATCCCTATGTTCTTTATGGCAATAGTTAAAGTGATATGACAATAGGCATCGGGCAGGTACAGTTCTAAATAAGCTTAAGGGAAATGTCCATGTTGGGCACGTTATGTATGAGAGCCAATTTGGCAAGACAGTGTCTGAATGTTTTTTTTTTTTTTTTTTGCAAGGATATTCCATCACAGGCCTTAAGCCTCTGGCTGGCATTGAAGAGTTAAAGGCTGGAATGATTATTTTAAAAGATTAATCTATAGTGCCTAACATGATACATAGCACTGATTGTGTCTGCAGACTTAACACTTTTTATTTGTTCTTTAACGCCCGTCATTAAAAGTATGGCCAGTTTCTCCAATGTACTGGGTAGGACAGGAGGAACAGGAAACTGAATAAACACCAGCAGGATTGGTAGTAGGAGCAGCCGCATGAACAAGATTACAATGAATTGTACTGGTTTGTCAATGGGCAAGTTTTGCATGACAGGGTTTAGTAAGGTTTTTGACTTCACATATGAACAGCATAGTGTTTCTAGTGTTGGAAGAAGATTTAGGATAAAAAAGCTTTTGTTTAGCTTGAGAATAGGAATAGTTGATCAAATTTAAGGGATAATGAAGGCGAGGAAAAAGAATTGTGAACAGAAATATCAGAATCAAGAAACTGAGGGGGGGGAGCGGGTTACTAATATGCATAATGCCTAGAGAAAGAGGGAGACAAGAGCACTTTTCTTAACAGAGGGATAGTAGGAAAAGAAATTAAATGTACAGAACATACCATTGTGAATAAGCTTATGGTAGACATAGAATGGAATGGAGGGGGGGGGGGGGGGAAGTCCTGGAAGACTGACTCTTAGAAACCCAAGTTGATTCTTGAAACATTTGGCAGAACACTCAAGCAGGAAAACTGTTTAAAAGAAGATTGAGAATCAAAGAAATTGAACAGAATAAGATGCTTGTGAACAGAATAAGATAATTTTCAGATTTGTGAGATTGGAAGTCTAATGGGAATTATTTTTACTGATCTTACTTAAAGGTAATCTCACCCACTAACCTTTCCAGTTGCCAAGGAGAGCCATTTCTCGACTGATAACAATATCAATCTCTCTTGCACCATCTTCTACAGCTAAGAGTATCTCTTCTAATCGAGTCTTCAAATGGTATTGTCCAGATGGGAAGCCTGTTGCCACTGTAAAGATGGAAGCTGTTGAATGAAACTCCAAGAGTCATCACACCTAAGTTATGCACTCCATACCATGAAAATTATGCAGCCCATATTTATCTTAACAATGGTGAATCTTCATTGATAAAATATAATTGTTTTAAATATATTAATGCATATAAAATAAATCTTAAATGTTGAAAATGTTTGCTTATTACAGTGTCAAGCACTTAATAGTGTTGCAGGTCTACCCAAATTATAATGGGATTGTATAAAACAAATTAGAAATCTGCATCCATGCCACAAGAGAAATGCAATGTTTACACTCTTGTTGTATGACAAAACATCCTATCACTTTACACATGCTAATATAACTGGAAGCTCATCTCACATGCCAACACTGAAGTAATAATTGTGCATGTTACAATCAGCATGGACAAGAAATATTTTCTATAATTCTCCGGGAGGAAGCACTGCATTAGTCAATAGAACTGACATTGCATATCTTATCTGGTGCCAATACCATGGGTAAAAGGTCAACTCAGCCCAGGGCCTTACATGGTAGAAAGGATCACTATGTGTATGCCATGATCAATACATATTTCAAACCTATATAATAAATACTAATAATCATAAAATAATTTTATATCTAAGATACACATAGGAATACAATACAGTATTTATTTAGTAGGTAACAGTAGAAAAGCTGCACATTACATAAAGCCACTAATATGAACAGTATTTTGGGCATAAAAATTTGTGATAATTTAGGGTTCAAGTTTAATGGGAACTGCCAATTAACCTTGCTGAATACACCATGAAAAAAAAAGAAATCAAAACAAATATTTCTGAAACCAATATTTTTTTGCAAATTAAAAAATTGTTTTGCAGCATATGATAAGTCACATCCACCAAGGACATGAATAATGAATTTTATTTATTTATATATACAAGAGTTCTTACATTCCTGCAAGGAATGGCTAACCCCCCCCATACCTGCTGCTACAGGAATATCTACTCCAATCTTCTGCAACGTTTTTAGGGCACCAGCTACTCGGGCAGGGTACACACAGACAGCCCCACAGGTGATGCCAGCATCCTCCATACCCATGGCCTTTATTATGTCGTGACGAATGGGGCGTGCCGCTTTGTGGCACAGACGTTGAACATTGGCATTGGTATCATCGCCTGTTGAGTTCGGAATTATTATTTGTAGCACTGGTAATCAAATACAGTACTGTACTGTACTTTATAATCACAAACAGAGAGCTTGTAAGAGTGAGAATAGACAAGCATATATGCCAAGGATAGAGAATAACATTTTCTACTTTAAGATAATTTGATAAAAAATCAAGCAAAACCAAAAGGGTAACATTTCTTATTAATAATTTAATAATCAATAACAATTGGAATTTATTATTATTTTTTTCTTTATTGCACAGTCCAAAGTTAATCCAGTCACTAATTTTTTATTACCTGAGAGAGTTGTAAGATCAATGCAGGTAACTGCTCGTAACAGCCATGCTGCCTGCCACTGTTTCTTTACAGTGCGTTTTGTGCCCAAAGTCTCAGCTCGTCTCTTGACTGATGGCAGATTAACCTGTACACTGTTCACCCATGCTAAATCTGTTGAATGTAAAATTATTAAGTCTAATCAGATACATGCCAATTGTGCTGCAGGACAAGCCAGAAGATTTTACATTTCCAAAGCTACATTGGCATAGTCTCATTTCCTATAGTGCAGGAACCATGTGTCCACCCTGCTTTAAAGGACAACCAGTCCCTTACTTGTGCTCGATTGTCCAGAAAGGCAATAAGTATGGCTAGTTGGAGAGACGTAGGATACTTCATACATAAAATGGTCTGCTGCCTACTTTTAAAACCAACATAGCTCAATCCAACCTAGTACCAACCCAATCCAACTTAGTGCCAACCCAACCCAGCCTAGTTTTACCTAAACTAATGAAAAAATCATTTAAATTAGAAAATGGACTATACAACTGTACAAGTTGTACAATAATATGGTGTTAATCATGACAGTAATTAACACCACATTATTCCATCTGTCAGGAAGTTTGTACTTAGGCTTATCAAGGTCTTCCTAGGCCAGTGGTCCCAACGTTTTGTTCCAGTGGTTCCTGCCTGCGGACCCCCCTTACAGCCATGTGCCAGCCTGCAGAGCTCAATAAAATAGAGCTAACAAAGACAGAGAAGCCATTACAGCCCTAACTGTGCAACAAATACTGTACTACATACATGAATTTAAAGCACTGATATTCTCAATTAAAATTGCATGTAATTAAATAACACGAGTCATGCAATTTAACACACTCATAACTTGTTCTTGTTTTGTTAAGAGGACAATACAATACAATAAACAATATTAGATTCATGGTACCCCAGTTGGGAATCACTCCCTTAGGATGCAACCCACAACAACAGCCCAAGTCCAGGGTACCTATTTTACTAGAAGGTGAATAGAAGCATCAGATGAAAGGAAACATGCCCACTTTTTCTGTTCTACTCATGACAAAAATTCTCAGGGGAATTTACAGGGGTAGATAAGGATGGATTATTTAACACGGGGTGGTACACGCACTAGGGAACACACGTGGAAGCCGAGTACCCAAATGAGCCACAGAGACACTAGAAAGAACTTTTTCAGTGTCAGAGTAGTTAGTAAATGTAATGCATAAGTTAGTGATGTGGTGGAGGCAGACTCCATTCAGTTTCAAATGTAGATATGACAGAGCTCGAGAAGCTTAGGAATCTGTACACCAGTTGATTGACAGTTGGGGGGCGGGGGACCAAAGAGCCAAAGCTCAGCCCCCCGCAAGCACAACTAGGTGAGGACTGAGTGGGTCGAGGATGTAGACGAGACCACAGGACTCCCCCTCGAACACCACATTGAGGTATCCTTGAGGCTGTCCACGCAGGTTCGTACAGCCGTGTCATGCTTTTCAAAACACCGGCAACACCTACGAGGAACACATCACTCGGCTGTAATCCTCCAGGAGTAATTAAAGGGATTGCATCAAGGGGAAATAAAGAGATAAGCTCACCTAAGCCAACGCCTGGGTTTCTGACAGCCATGTTTACAAACTCGACCAGCTGATTATATCAGCGTTGCCAGATCCGAATTGCTGAAATTCGCTAGAAGAAGCGAATTTATAATACGAATAGCCCAATTTTTTGTTTAGCGACTGATACGGGTTTCAAAGTAATATATTTTAAGGCATAGAGTATACTACACGATTTTAAATATTTTATTAATATTATTTCTGCATATATAATACAAAAATATTCATATATTGTGATAATGGGATATATAATGTGGGATAATTATAATGTGATAATGGGATAGCTTACCAATTTTCAATTTCTTTCTTTATTATGCACCCCATACCCATCCCGTGAGCGGTGGTGTAAAGGATTACAGAGGCACATAATCGGTTCAGGAACTGAACCCTCTAGTTTGTTTAGCTAAGCAAATAACAATCTTTTGACGCTAGTTACACAATTATTAATGTTATATATATACATGTAAACATACTCAGACATACATGTACATATATATATACATATCAGTTGATTGACTGTTGAGAGGCGGGACCAAAGAGCCAGAGCTCAACCCCCGCAAGCACAAATAGGTGAGTACATATACAAATATACATACACATACATATTTAATCATCTGCACAAATACACACATCAATAATCTTTTGTATCACAAGTGATTCAGCAAGAGGCTCACAACAGTCACTATACAAGGCACTTTACATCTTTGGTGAGTCACACAGTTACTAGTCTTGCTGCACACCCACCCAACTGGGCGGCAGCTTTTCAGTCATGTACATGCATTACCAACAGTAAGCAAATTTTGGATGCTTCGCAAAGATTTCGGGCAGCACATCATTATGAATGAAGTACTTACACATTTCTTGGACACTATTGATGGCGTTATCTTTAAATTCCGCGATTTTTTCACATTCCAGTATATAATGACGCAAAGTATGCGAATAGTTCTGCTGACAGAGTTTACATTTAGTCAAATCTACATCAGCACATTTTTACCTGTTAACATTTCTCAATTTTGATAGAAATTACCAACTTGAAATCAGCTAGAAACGCTATGCGCGTTAGTAGCACTACAAGAATGTAAAAACATCAATGCTATATGTACTCTCAACACAATGTACCTTCTTGTATATATATATATAAAATAAATAAATAAACAAACATTTGCTGTATGAAACATAATGGGTGAGGAGTCCTTGCACGTCTTCACAGTTGTAGATTATCAAGAAGTTCTTTGTATCCACAACCTCGTTCTTGTTAGTATATTGCTGACTCATATTTAAACATTGACAAGGGCGGTTCAAATGATGAGTAACAAGTTCCGTTTTCTTCAAGATATGTTTTGATTCTCATGATTGATGTCAAAAGCTCGAGTCCCATTCGATTTCTCAGTTTAGTTTTCACAGATACCAGATTTCACAGTTTCAGATTTTCTCTCGAAAATACCCGTTCAACAAGGGAATTACTGATTGGTATAGCTGCATAGTTTCAGCGCAAACTCAGCGAGGTCAATCAGTATGGGATCGCCAGCAGCGTTCTTAGCAGATAAGGCCTTGGTCCAAAATGAGTTAGTTTAGTTCATTTATTATGCACCCCATACCCATCTTGTGGGCGGTAGTGGAAAGGGTTACAGAGGCACATAATGGGCTCAGGGACTGAACCCCACAATTCATTTAGCTAAGCAAGTTACAATCTTGATGAGCTAGTTACAAAATTCAATATAAGTCGTCACATCAACAATGGGTTCGAGATCGACCTCAAGTACAGGTTCTAAATTAAGCAACTGACATGTGGAGAGCTGGTGTCAAAATTTATATGTTTGTCCTGCACACCGCCCCCCATCCAGTGGGCAGCGGTGGATAGGTTACAATCACTTAGTTACTACCTACAGTTAGCAAACTGGGGATATTTGGCTAAAATTTCTGGTAGCAGATTATTTTGAATGAAATATTGACACATCGCTGGAACATTGATTATAGAATTGTCTCTAAATTCACGTATCTTTTCGCACTCCATCACATAGTGACGGAGGGTGTGCGAATGTCCAACGATCCAGATGTTGGAATTTGTCCCTCACAAATGTTGGACCAGTCAGTGGTTAACAGTAGGCGTCACTGTCTTTCAATTTCACTAAGCTTAGATTGGTCAGTTAGAATTAATGGAAGTTCTGAAAATTGTGGCGTGTATGTCTAACGCAAGTGACAGATTTTTCACCCTTTTGACAGTTTCAACATTACTTGGAATACGAGAAAGAAGCTCTTTGCAAGCTTTCAATAAAAAAAATATAGCATCTTTCTTGAATATTTTGAAACTTTTTCTGGGTTATAAAATTGTTTTGTCTGTTAGTGGCCAGAAATGTTGAAAGTTCGTAACCAAAGTCCTCTTTCTCCAGTGGCAGATATATTGAATTGTAGTCCAAATTAACATGAAGCTTTGCATGATGAGTCTGCACGATTCTTCTGAACATTCCAGGAGTGAAGGTTTCTTAGTCAGTGTGATGGCTACACTGATTTTCCTCATCGTTTTGATAAAGTAAATTCATCCTTCCAAAATCATTTAGGATTGGTTTGAGAAATGTGAAATTATAACTTATTGGCGGAATCAGAGTACACAGAAAATAGTTGCCTTGCATCAATTACAGTCTCCGTGGTGTAGTGGTAAGACACTCGCCTGGCGTTCCGCGAGCGCTATGTCATGGGTTCGTATCCTGGCCGGGGAGGATTTACTGGGCGCAATTCCTTAACTGTAGCCTCTGTTTAACGCAACAGTAAAATGTGTACTTGGATGAAAAAACGATTCTTCGCGGCGGGGATCGTATTCCAGGGACCTGCCCGAAACGCTACGCGTACTAGTGGCTGTACAAGAATGTAACAACTCTTGTATATATCTCAAAAAAAAAAAAAAAAAAAAAAAAAAAAAAAAATATTTAACACAACGAGTAAGAAGCGAAACGGATAGAATTTGTACACATTACACTATAAAAGCATAAATAATCATCATGAGTTTCTTAACGTTAGTAACCCAAATTACCTCGAAGTGCTTTTTTTTTTAAATTAGCCCAAAAAAGTTGCAAGTGAACGAAAAAAAAAAAAGAGCTGAAGGCCCTCAGAAGTAGCCTAATTCGCTACTTGTAGCTCAATTCGCTATTTGTAGCCTAATCTGGCAACACTGGGCTTGATAGAGCACTGACCAATCACAGTCGAGATCCGGTCTCGACGGCGTTACCCAGTTATCCAACAGTTTTTTTTTTACAGCCACAAGCACGCATAGCGTTTCGGGCAAGTCCTTAATCCTAATTTGCACACACACACACACACACACACATTCCCAATAAGCAGCCCGTAACAGCTATTTAACTCCCAGGTACCTATTTACTGCCAGGTGAACAGAGACATCAGGGTGAAAGAAACTATCCATTTGTTTCCGCTTGCGCCGGGAAGATCGAACACGGACCCTTAGGACGACGAACCCCAAGCGCTGTCCACTTAACCGTTAGGCTCCTTACAGGTTACCCTGTTCTTTTCACAACGGAAAATTATTTAGTCATACTGTCAACTGATTTAGATATACTGTCAACTGATTTAGAAATGGCAAATGAATTTAATAGTTTCTTTTCATCGGTTGGTGCTAATCTTGCCAGTAGAATCCCACAGACTCAGACACATATTAACACATATCTCTCAGGCAGCTATCCAAACTCTCTTCTCCTTTCACCAATCAGCCCGGCAGATGTTGTGTCCATCATACATTCTCTAAAAACCAAGGCAGGGAACACCAGTGAAATTCCGTCCATTGTGTACAAGAGAGCCTTCCATGCCCTTGCCCCACCCATAGCACTACTGTTCAACAAATCTATAGAGTGTCACACCTTCCCTGATATCCTCAAAAAAGCAAGAGTAACGCCAGTCCATAAAGGAGGCAATCCGGCGGACATAAACAATTATAGACCAATATCAAATCTACCCATTCTAGCAAAAATATTTGAAAAAATTATTTACAAACAGCTCTATTCCTACCTCGTAATATTCGACATATTCAGCCCCTGCCAGTTTGGCTTCCGGTCCCAAAAGAGCACCAACGATGCAATCATTAGTCTCCTTGACGTTATCTACTCAGCCCTTGACAAAAATGAGTTTCCGATTGGACTCTTCATTGACCTAAGAAAAGCCTTTGATACTGTTAATCACAACTACCTCTTACTTAAACTCCAGCATTATGGAATCCGAGGCCTTGCCCTTGACTACATCCGATCCTATCTTAGTGACAGACACCAATATGTAACCATCAATGATACAACTTCTTCCACTCTACCAATTACCGTTGGAGTGCCACAGGACAGTATCTTAGGACCTCTTCTATTTCTTATATATATAAACGATCTGCCTAATGTCTCTAATATTCTCAAACCTATATTGTTTGCTGACGATACTACCCTTATCTATTCAGACCTCAACCCACATACACTAAATAATGTTGTGAATAATGAATTAAAAAAAGTCCACTTATGGATGTCAACGAACAAACTAACATTAAACATCGAAAAGACTTACTACATCTTATTTGGAAGCAAATCATCAAATGCAATTCAGCTACAGATAGACAACATTAACATCAGTAATAAAAATGATGGCAAGTTTCTTGGCCTATTCCTAGATAAGAGACTCAACTTCAGCACCCACATTCAACACATAACTAAGAAAGTCTCTAAAACAGTTGGTATACTCTCCAAAATCAGATATTATGTTCCTAACTCTGCTCTCCTCTCACTACATTATGCACTAATCTACCTCTATCTTAATTATGGTATCTGTGCATGGGGGTCTACCACTGCAAACCACCTTAAGCCCATCATCACACAGCAAAAATCTGCTATCAGAATAATAACTAACTCTGCTTTCAGACAACACTCAGCTCCCTTGTTTAAATCCCTAAACTTGCTAAATATTATCTCCCTCCACACATTCTCTTGTGTCAACTGCATTTACAAAACCCTGTTCTTAAATGCAAACCATGCTCTGAAACTCTCCCTGGACAGATGTAATAGGACCCATTATCACCACACCAGAA